ATTTCGTACGTTTTCGTACGTTGGCTCCTCTCTCCTGGGTTCTCCACACTCCCGCTTTCATGCTAACGTGAGCCCGGTGTGGCGAGAGTCAATGTGCGAAAGAAAGAGGCTCCTGCCGCTTTTGAACGCCGCCAAGTCGCTGATACATGGTTCGAACAGCAGGTACATTTTTCAAACCGCTCGCATCCCGCGATTTGCTAGCAAATCCAAGGACTCGCCAAGATAAGCACCGCTATATGCCGAAACGACTCCTGTCCAGTCTGCCGCGCGCAAATTACAGTCCTATCGCTGCCCACCTTTACACCTCTTAGCGAATAATACGGACTCTGACTCATATATCCATAAGCGATGTCACTGTGAGTAGGTTAATTCGTAATAATCGATTTCATTTGAGGCTGGAAGGTGTTGGACGGCCTGAGCGAGCGGCACACAAGAAATGCACAAAGAAGTCGACTTCAGTCAAGGAACATGCACAATGTGTTGTAGAGCTTATGAATGACGAAGCGAAATACCAGCAACGAAAGAGAAATTTCGAGGCAATGAAGAATAAAAATGGTGGGTATACTATCTGTAAAAGCTTTTGAACCCCAAAAATTTAGAATACACGAATATTCATTTATCAGAGAGAACCGCACGCTACCGCGCACCCTTACTAATCTTGACGTTTTCACAATAAACGCATCCACCACACCACTCCTTCCCCCTACCCATCATCTCACGCTTGCCTTCTTGCTTCTTCGCCTAGCTTAGCCCCCGCTACCCTCTCGCGTTGCAGTGCTTTCTAACGAACTGTTGGACACAAGCACACACACATACAGACACAGAGACCTGCTTAGTTCCTTATAATTAGTTGGATTATCTGTCTATGGAATGCTCAGAAATCCAATGCGTAGCTAGTACAATATATCTTCGGATATTATTGCATAACACCTCCATTATAAATGTAAATCGCGTTGTCCAGTTAGTAAAAGCATTTAAATCACATGGCTAAAGAACGTCTTAGAATTTAATGGTTATCGATGAAGAATCGGTGATTTATGCAGATGTTTTGATATTATCGATAACTCCAATGGCTCTCTTGCTGCCCGCACTCTCAACACCTTCCACGAACTCCCCTTCTTTCTTCGCTCTGCGCTCTCACGAAATCAATAGGCATGGCAGGGACGCAGAGACGCTCAATGCGACCAATGCATGACGTGCAGAGAAAGGGGAAAGTGCATGGGGATTGAAGAGACGCAGATAGACGGCGACTAAAATGTACTCAGGGGTACATTTTAGTCGCCCTCTACATGACCCTCTGCGTCTCTGCAATCTCCACGCACTTTCCTTTCTCTGCCGGGTTCGCCGTCTAGGCAAGGTGCCACCTAATACGTTGGCCACTTAAGATGTGGCCTAGACCTCGCCCTCTGCGGCAGGTCAGCGCGAGTTTCCCGCCTTTCCCAATGCTTTTTAGGTGCGGACGAAGGCGAGGTCAACGTGACCTATTGGCCAACTATAGACTGGCCGTTTAGGAGACTTTACTACCGTCCCTAATGCTTGGTCATTTTGACCGATATAATACCGACCCGGTTTCTGCAAAATCAATGAGTTTTGGCAGATCAGTTCGCCGCGTTGCCATATTTTGCGTTAGCGGGCTCTAAACGCGTGAACGCGTGGAATCATGAGCCCGTAGATTGCATCTTCTTACAATACGAACAAATGGAAAATGTGGCATGCATCCACAACCTATCGATCTACTTTGCTCTATCGATCACATCTAATCACTAATGGGTAAGCCTTCTCCATCAATCACTGACGCTTCCTTCATAGCCATATAGTTTTGGACAAGACATTCCTTGCCTATGTGATTTGATGTTTTTACTATCTCGGAAACGAAATTTGTTTACAAGGGAGGTTTTATAAAGAAACTTAAAAATTATATATTTTTCCAATATTGGATTTTTCGGCCCTATCTATAGCTAAGGTGACGCCGCGTGGCCTCGTCATCAATCGGCTAGAGATTCTTCAGTGAAACAGGATCCAGAGAAGGGAATTTAAGGGTCGATCCCATCAGTCTCATATTTGTTTATCGAGAAGCTAGGCTTTTGATCAATGTCTATAGCAATTTTTGTCGCAGATACCTTCTAATTGAAGTCATTTTGACTGCCTTGAATTGACGAGAAGTTTTGGTATTCTATGTGATCTGCACCTGAACTTTGAATTTCGCTATGTTATCAGCCAATTGAAGGAGCTCTTTGGGTTGTGCTGTAAAGAAGAACGTTATAATACGTGTTCGACCTTTCAGTAAAGGTTTTATAGCGCACCTGACAAAGAGAGGGCCGAGTATGTGAAAAATGAAGACCTTTGTAATGTGATGGGAATAATTAGTGATCAGGGTTATGGCACAGGGTTACGTGATCATCGCTCTTGATGAATCCACTGTAAGTAAAGAGGATAGAAATGCGCAAATTCCGACTCCGATTTACCATGTATGTAAACTCCTTTCTGAATGTGCGTTATTTAGCCCTTCGCTCGAGGAGGAGGAACTCCAAAAAGATATTCCGCAATGATCATGGCACCGAGGATGAACGACATTTGCTTCCCAAGCAGCTGGAATATTTGAGAGCAGTCGGTTTTCATCTGACTCACCAGTCTAGGCTTAGCATATCTTCAAGCGGAGTATGTTTGCTGGGATCTGTTTAAAAGGGTTACACGGCGCTTAATTGCGTCCCTCAGACGCTGTTAATCAGAATTACAGTCGGTTTCGAATGTGCTAAGCACTCCTGAGAACTGCTGTTTCCAGTCAGAGTAAAGATTTCTCAGCTCGCAACCTATCTCATCACATTCTGCATTTACTCTTGAGTTACAGCCACACTTTCAGAGTCAGCTAGAAACTTTTTTATGAAAAAAATTTGAAATACTCCCCACGCTCTTCCCTACATAAGTATAAGCGCACCCTGGATGAGAGGTTTAAAGAGCTAAATTTCTTCTTCCTATCGACTCATTTGCTAGACTGTGGGCTTAGAGTGAAGGCACACTACACTTAAATGTGCCTGATGATTCCAATGTCTTTAGAAAAATCAGTATTCAAATGATTCATGACGTCTCGGTGGCGCACTTGAAGCTTTCCACAATTTATCACTGCTTGCATCAGCGTCGGTCTGCTTTACAACAATTCCTCAGATGTTTTCGATAGGATTCAGATCGAATTGCATGCGGGCCAATCCGTGACATTGATATCATTAACGCTAAGCCTCATTTAGCGGATCAGCTGCAGTGGATGGCGGCGCTGTCGTGAATGACGCAAGAGACTACTCGCAATCTGCACTGAAGAACAGACGCAAATGATCAACAGAAACGTCCAGATAGTGGTCGATGTCCGTTTTAAACGATATAGGACGAGGACAGAGAGCGTATAGCGCTGCTGGACCACATGGGATCCGCCATTGAAGTTTCCTGGACAGAAGACCATAGGATCCTTCTGAATCCCTCCATTAGCTGCGATATCCATCGGACACGTTTTAGTTAGACGTACTCTTTTCGGTAAACACACCCAAATTCAACAGAGCATCAGTCGGTTACCATAATAAAAAAGCCTCCCTGTCCTGTGGAACTTGCTGAATCAGTCCATTCTCACGTTTCTTCAAGCTAATTCAAGGCGACTAGCCTTGTAGTGCCCCTCAAATCGTGGAACCTCTATCACGGATCCTCGTCCAGTACATACTTAGAGTTGATTTGGTAGCTCTCTAAATGATAATTCTTGATGCGAAAATCGAAACCTAGCATAGTATCAGAACTACAACGTGGTCATTGCGTATGAGATACTCCGCGCAGAGATAATACTTGCGGCCTTCCAAAGATTTAGTTGTTCCTTAAAAACTGCGGATTTCTCATAAAATTTTTAATACTGCATCGCCCGCGTTGAGCAGCAATAAAGCATTTCACACTTGTTCCTAGGCACTGAACTTGCTCGCAAGTAGAGAGATTAAATCGTCCACGACTACTGAGGGAGCGACTAGGTTCAGTCATACAATCAAAAATGGACTGAGAGGAAGCTGCAATTTAGTGGTGAACTCTCTTGTCTAGAGTGCCTCCATACTTTAAGAGAGAGGATTCTGGAATTCTCTTCTAAAAGCTTTCTACCTCATGGTGTTCTCTTAAAGCAACAGTCCAGGCAGGGTTTCAACCATTTGGTTTTCAAGTGGTGGAAACATGCCTCAGCCTGATTGGAGTTCATGGGAAATGTCACAAACTTCAAAACTTACCTCTGAAAGGCGTTGGAAGCAGTCGAAATCCTTCAAGAGGGGCGGATCCACCGATCCGTGGTGGGGCCGCCTCCAAGCAGCTGTGCAGAGCGCTTGCTCGACTAGCGGTCGTTGCGGGACCGCCGCGCTGTATGAGGTCGATTCCATAAGAACGCAATTGAAGCGCTTCAATTTCGATTGCTGGCAAATAGTTATGTATTTGCAAGCATGCATGGCTATTTGCCAGCAGTTGCAATTGGAGCGCATGTACTACGGGCAGGTTCGGACAACTCGTCCAACACACGTCTCCCTCCCTAAACGGCAGGGGGAGTCCCTGTCTAAGCCCCTGCCCGACGTTTTTTTCTACTTTTTCTTTCTCCATTGACCAACTTCTCACCTGCAACGTCATTATAGGTGGTCCTTACCCGCGAATTCGTTCCTGGATTGTTGCTTTAAAGAACGTAAGTTACATTTTCATTGTATACGGAATCGAATTAAGAAGGTATCAAGCCATGAATCCTTTATACTAACTCGGAGCAGCTGTTTTCAGAGGTGCCTTGATATTACATACTTTTGAAACGCGCTGCGTATTCGTGATAAGGGTTCTGGGGTATTACAGTAGTAGGTTACAACACAATTTTCGGTTCGTTATAGTGGAGTAGTGCCGATTTGTCATATGTACGGAATCATCACATATACTTCGAATGACTAAAGTGATGGTGTAGTTGTTTTCAGATCCCATCTTCATCTGAGAAAAAATGGGTAGGTCAGTTCCGTATGCGTGCGAAACGCTCTGCAGCACAGAATACAAGCGCTATAATAGCACCAGTTAATAGGGAGCGTTACGAGCTCATCGATAGTAAGTTCCGTTAAGAGTCAAATCAAACCTCACTACCTTAGTTTCACTTCATTTACTTCAGAGAATCAGCGTTCGCCGATGAGAGTGATTGCACAAAAACTTCTACGACAAGTCCGGAGACTGAAAAATAAGGACGAAAATGAGGGTCAAAAGTAAGTGGTCATTGTGCGTACTGTATGTATGGAATGGTTGTTCATTATCTACCAGTCGGATCGCCCACGCTGGGCTTTCCTACTTTCTTGGCGGCGTTGTTGATGGGTAAAGTAGTGATAGTGTAACTAAGTACCATGAGAGCAAGAAGGTAGGAATAAGCAGAGCCCTGCGGGGTGGGTGCAGCGGCACCATTCACGTAAATGGTTCTCTGGGCCACTTTAAAGAATATAGGGTCCAATCATAGGCTATATAATATTAACCCGAGCGTCAAATTCAGCACCGCTATTTGTGAGTATTGCGTACTATCGGAAAAAAACACTCGGATACTTAGAAGCAACCGCGCTTAATATTAGGTTGTCCCGAAAATTCAACTATTTTTTTGAGCTGACAGTAGAATAGAAGGCCTTTGGGAGGAGGTTGATCGACGCTGCATAGTGGATCTAGTGGGACTTCTCAAGTGAGCTTCCGAATTTAGAGCCGTCTTATTTTCTGAACACTGGTCTCGATTGTCGTTGAGCGGACATACTTTAATGAATTTTGGGCGTTTCAGTTGGAGTCTTACCCAGATTCAGGCATTGATTACAGGAAACCTTTCCTATCAGAAGGCGGAAGTTAGGAGGAAGTTCTCACCGACTGGTTGGCGACTTGATTTCTATACGTGACCAAAACCTTTTACTGTATTTGGCAGTTTTTCAGCCCCTTCTAATCCACCTGCCACTGGTGCTTCTTCAAGTGGTTAGCAACCACTTCTCATCAGCAGTAGCGCGGTTGCTCAGCCACCGCGTATTGAGGAATAGCATAGAGAGCGTTGTGAACTCCCCAAAAAGGTGGATGTTTATTACGAGATGACCAACATTGAGGAACTCATTATCGTCTGAATGCGACTACGGTTATCATTCGTTTGGTAGATCTGCTTGCATTCTTAAGTGTAGGAATTCGGTTAACTTAATAGACACTTATATTTTCACAGGCCGCGATACTTCAACGAAAACTACCCAGACAAAAGATTATACTGCGCTCATAGCTTGGGGACGAGGAGATTCAAAACAGGCTGATGGAGGGTGACACAAGAGTGACAAGGCCAGGCGAGGGAAGAAAGGCCAGGAAGAACACAGTTATCCCACATCCTGCCCCGGAATCCCTGCCGATCTCTTAGGCTTAGTCCCTTGTGCAGTAATTGGCCACCCACTCGAGTAGGCTGAAATCTCTAATCAAAGCTTACCGTGTAATGCGCGAAGAAGCGTGCGGAGCTAAACGTAGAACGATAGCTTATTATTTACTTCTTTCAGTTGGAAGAGGACTGTTGCGGAACTTCAAGTGGAGGGAGTGAAATTGAAAAAGAAGAGGAAAATGCTGCAGTTGCTCCAAAGGCATATAAGAATAATCAAGAACGCCTTGCGTGATCATGCCATCCTCCAGCGCACCACGAAGGTAGTTGTACCTCCATTCTGCAATTTAACCTTCTTTGCTAAACTACCGTGCTCTTTTCGGTTTTGTTATTTCTTTATCGTCAACACCAAATTGGTTGCATTATGGTCCATTACTTGTTCAAGTGACCTTGATTTATACATTGCCACTGGTCATCTATTTTTTCGAAGCATTTTTACTACATACATACAATGATAATATTATAAAACCCACCGTTGTGGTGGAAAGCCATAACGCGCGTCCGGCCAGGTGTGTAGCATTTTTTGAAAATTCACATTTTCGCTTACCTATGAGCACAAAAGTGCAATACAAATTACGCGATATATCACATGAGTGTTGTGACACAGTGATGATTCGCGTGTTATAAACCAGTGCTTCGAAATGCCTGCTATAATGCCTAATTATGAGATTAATAAAGCTGTGTTTGATGAACATTAATAGTGAGGGAATGAGCTTTATTCTGCAGTTCGATTCCGGCAGGGGTATACTTCGAAGCAGGAACAACCTTCGCTTCCGCACTTTTTCAAAAATTTAACACTCCACCCTTCTCGCAGAGGGGTCTCGATACTTACCCTACCACCGTCGCCCCATGGGCGTTCCCACAACGCCTTCCCTCTCAGAATCGCAAATACGAATAGAATCCCTATATTCGAATAGTTTGAACGAACGGGGACCCTGCCTCGACATTATTCGAGTTTTGCACCCCTATAATTAAACTTCTATGCGGCCGCGGTGATTATTTCGCCTCCACCAGGGTTCCGAGCAGATCGTGGTCACGAATATTGGTGTTGCGAATGACAGAACCCTTAGACTGTGCGAGCTTGTCAATGCTGTACTTGCCAATCAATGCCATGCACTTCAAGTCCTGTTCTCTGCAGTGCAGGCTCTTGGAGTTCGAAGAAGGTTTCTACGATAAGGTCGGAAGTCGAAGAAGGGGAATATACTTAGTGTGAAGGCCACCTATTCGACACCCTAGCTCCTGATCGACACGCTCATGATCGTGAAATATGCTTCAACTTAGCAAAGATTCTCTAGCCCTCATTGAATGCTTATCTGTTAATCCGTCCTCTTTTTCTATTTTTATTACCATTTCAATAAAGACATTTGCATTAGTGAATAAAAAACTCTAAGAATGGCAAAACATGTAATTCCAATGAAACAAGCAAAAGGCTTGCTTTTTCATTGCTATGATACGTCCTTTTTGTCGACATCCAGAATAAAATGTTACAAGAAGGTCCTAGGTGTTCATCTCCACTTTTACTCACTTCTTGAACGACTCCATACTCACTTTGTATTTTCAGAGAGGCGGGGCTTACGAGAAGGATAATGACATTGTAAAGTTGGTGAAAGGAAGAGCGGAGCAGGAGACACTGGACTATGAGCAGCTAATGCGAATTCCAGTGAACCTTGTACGTGAAGGTGCGAACTATGTTCTGAAACCTTGAATTTCGTATGTGTCATACTTTCAGCTGTAAAGCTAACTGTGATGCTTGATGGGGGAAACGTCACAGACTTTGACAGGAAAATTTTGGAAATTCTGTCTCCGCGATTTTTTCCTGTTGTTCCCGAACAAGACGTCGACGGCAAGGTGAAATTTATGCATTTATTAGGTTGGCCGATAGGAAATGTCGTTTTTGGTCACAATGAGCTTCACTGTAGAAACAACAGCAAAGCACATTAACCTGAGCGGTGTCCTCCACCTTGAACAATTAATTCTATCCTTTTGCGGGCAAGAAATGGATGGCTTCTTACAAAGGACTGTCTCGGATGCGACTCGAAGAAGTTGGACACCAAAATTTTAGTGGTGTTGCAGTTTTTGAAGTTATTCTTGGTCGAGGTGTGCAGTTCTGGCCGGAGTGATTGGTAATAATGTAATTAGCACGCGGAGCAAAGCTTCCATTTCCTGTTCTTCAATTTTTTGGGTATTCCACAACATGGGAGTATTGCTCTTTTGTGCATCAGTTATATCGGGAAGCATGACCCGTTGATGACGCAGCTGACAATGAACGAATTGACATATTCAGCTTTGTTTCACATAGTGCACTCAGTGGACCTCTCTCTCACCAACCTCCACTTTTTCACCCATCTCGACAGCTTCTTGGACAGAAAAAGAAAGAAAACCGAGACATGGTGAAAAAGACCTTCGATGTGCAGTTCTGTGGTGTCTATATTCTGAGCTCCTGCATTGATGAGCGTGCGTTTTGTTAAGAAAGATGCGTAGTTTCAACACTTTTAACATGGCTGAAAATGTTGACTTTGAGCTGAGATATGTCGCTTTAGAAGACGGAGGTCAGGAACCCGCATCAATTTCTGGACATCCTAATAGATTATAGGTGAAGAGGTGGGAGTGTGATCATACATTAACATACCAAGATTTGGAGATTAGTCATTTTCATTGTCTTTCTGACATTATTACAAATTACAACCCCACTATGGGTGAAATGGTTCAAAATGTTTTCGGTGAGACGGCCCCTATAAGGGTTGAGGGCGCTGATCACGAATATAGGATCCATCTTTAGCGCTGGCTCCAAATTGGCGCCAGTTGAAGCTCTTACTGAATTTCACCCAATTCGCTGTAGACTTGTATATTATGTGGGGTTATTTGAGGCCCTGATTACGAATCGTTTTTGTTGTTCGCGCTGTTCAACGTATATTTCTACTTGAAGCGCCTACGACTAAGTCCAGGAAAAAGGAGTGATCGCGGTGTAGTGGGTAAACCAAGCACCGTGTGGCAAAAGTTGAAGTGTGAGAGAACAGTGAGTGGCTTACTCACTTTGGAGCCCTCCACTCTCAAAGGCTTAGTCCTGATTGCGATCTAATTAGTGCGAGGGCGCAGACGAGCAGAAATAGGCGCCAAATAGCGCCAACAACAAAAACGAATGTCATATTCGTAATCAGGCCCAAATAACCCCTATATACAAGTTTACAGCGAATTTGGTGAATCAGTCGTGGCGCCATCTGGCGCCAAATGGCGCCAAATTAGCGCCAGTGTTAAAGAAAGATTTCATATGTAGGCGAAAGCATATCCTCCACCTCCTACATTTACGGCGCTCAGTAGGCGAGTTTGTTAGACGCATTCTCTCCTTGTTGAGAGAGCGCAGAGAAAACGAGAAGTGGGAGGCGAGCACGCATGGAAAATCGATGACACGTGACATTGCGCGCCTCAGTGCCAACGCCCCAACTTCGAGAGCGTTACGGTAATCCGCTCTATGTTCCTGAACTGTTCCTGAACTGAATAGCCATCTTCCCGTGCACTGAGTAGCGCCGTACTTTCGAAGAAAGCGAAAATATGTTCTCAAGACGGATACATTATCAAAGAGAGTAATTTAGCTAATAAGGGGAGAGCCACATCTCACTCCGTTCAGAACCGCTGATAAACTTCTCCTTTTACTTTATCCGCATAGGTGCTTTTTGCACGCACAGGGTGTTTTCGAAACAAGGGCAATCATTAAGGAAGAATCCACGCGTTTTTTTATTGTAGGTGAAAGCTCTTTCACCGTCTCTATTCGCTCTTCACGATGAAGGGCGCGGACTGGAGAATGAGACAAGCTTGGTAAGAGCGATGTCACTGTTCGGTAACAAAGAAAACGACGCCTGGCTCAACCTCATTATGGAAGCAAGTGGAGTGACGGACACTCTCGAGGCCCTAAAGGTGACCGGTTTGTTCAATATCAGTATTGTAACATTTGTGCGACCAAGTGTAATGCACGGGTTAGAATAGAAATGGTGACGTCCTTTCACTGAACGAGAGCACATCAAACACCGTGTAAGGAATTCGTTTGAAATTTCCTAGTATTACTCATCTATCCTTGAAACTGCTTGCTTTTAGGGGGAGAATCATGAAAGATTCCCGCTGAAAGATGCTGCTTTGCATGGTTCCAATCAGTCGCCATATTTAACGAAGGAAAATGTGACCACCATGCTTGGAGAAGAAGAGGGATCGAAAATAGAAGTTTTCGAACGTCTCCAACGTTCGCTCACAAACGAACAGGTGTATACCTTTATATCAAACATCTTAATATGACTTCGTAAAAAGGGTTCTGAGGAAAGAGATAGAGCAGTCGGGATATCATATTTTCTCAGCCCGCCTCAACTCACTGATAGTTAGTGATTTCCAGGTGCCAAAGTGTTCAAAAAAGTGTTATTAATCCATAGTTACACTTTCATGGAATGATAGCTTCTGAAAACACGCTCATCGCCACTTACTTTCCCGTAATCGTCTGAAACATGATAATGAGGATTTTTCATTGCTACTGTTAGAAGCAGCATTACCTTGTCTGTTGTTGCCAACGTTGCTACTTAAACTAAGAGCTGATATTACAAAATCAGAAAGTGGGAATTTTTTCCGCCGTCTTAATATTGTATGTAATCCCCTACCTGAAGGCAGGCCCTTCATTGAACGCAAAGCCTTTGATCTATGGAACTCCATTTTCAACGGACCACCTGTCCTCCTTTTGAGGGCATCCCATGTGGTTGCCATAGTTGTAGTTGGCTTGCTTTGCAAATTTTGAATCATAATTTGAGAGCAGTAGAAAATCGCGGTCTTTGGTACTTGAAAAGCTAAACGAAGTAAGGCTACAGAAATCCTACGAACTTTCGTTGTAAAGTTCTCTTCACAAAAAATAGATACCCTTTACAAATACACACCCGATTTCGTAAAAAGATTTATGACAGAAAGCATGTCAATGAAAAAGAAGGCAGTGGTGCAAAACGACGGAAACATTATCACTGGCCCAGCGCCGTTCATTTTACTACTATGAGGCTCCTGTTAAACCTGTCGTCCACCATTCGTCGAGCTTGTCGAGCAGGCGCTTATAACGTCTCTAATTGTCCCTAAAGCGTGCTAAAGTACTTCATAGTTCCTCCTCGCACAAAAGACACGAAGGTGAGCAGCTCTTCGTTTACAGCATCCTGAGAGATGCTTACTCTGGCCAAGAGGCCATCACAAACTTGCACGCCGTGTCTGCTCATTTCATCGTCAGTTTTGAGCGACACTGAAACGCACGTCGTTACACTCCCACCGTCCACAAAGTCCGCAACCCCGAACTCTGTGCTTATCTACTGAATCCAAGGTCCTCGCTCTGCAGAGCGCTGATTGCGTGCTCGTGCTGTCCGTGCTGGGTTCTCGTCTTCATTGAGCCAGGGCGGACTGCAAAATCGCAAGCGTAGGAGCGAAGTCGCAGTTGTTATCTTCAGTGCTCCCTCGACGTTCTTCTGTGCTCCCCGTGCAGCTACTTTTCCTGCTCTGGAACTGAGCTTCATCAAGCTGACTTCCCGACCTATGCACACGTTGTTGAAGCACACGGATATATTTGTTTCGATGTGTGTACACTTTTATCTGGAACCAGGCTACTTCTCATGAATTCATGTACATCGATTTCTGTGATGCCATAGACAACTGCCACTCTTTGGACCAGTTCACCAAAAAGTCAACGCTTCTTGCCGTTTTCGAGAACCATTCATGTCTAAGATAGGTTTATAAATTTTTATGTCGCGGTATACTTTGATGTAACACATGCTTCGAAGAGCATATCAGATAGTTCTGTCGTAATGATGACTAAAAAGAAGCCTGGTGATAGAACTCAGCCCTAAGGCACATCGCTTGCTGCCCGCCTAACATCCGAAACTATTGTAATTGAACAACTTGAACTTGGAATGTTCTGCCAATTAAATAATATAAATCAATGCGCGTTAGTGATGCGGGTCGACTGGGTTTTGCGATTTCTTTAGGATTGTCTTCACTGCAACGCTATTCAGAACTTTGTTTTTTATTTGATACCTCAAAGACCTCTAACAGAATTTCAGCAACAAAATTATTGATTTTGTATGTGAATGAACCATTCAGCTTGCAAAACCAAAAATTGTTCTTCACGCCTGTCACCTGTCGTATCACACCTGTGGGCCCGTTGATCATCGAATTGTTCGAGCGGGCGTATTGTTGTTGTTCTTGGATTTCATTACTATTTATTACTATCATCAGCAAATTATATTTTGACTCAGACAAATTGTATAGTTCATTTTTACAGCTGCAGTCAATGAATGCAGCTGGCTATGCAGTGATGAACGGACAGCAGCTAAATATGGTCTATGGTCCAAAATCACCATATAGTAATAGTGAGACACTAAAGCAGCTATCAATGATTCGAGCTGAGGAAGTTCCGGCGTTAATTGAAAGAACAATTCGTGGCCTGGCTTCAGAAACGATTAAATTTGAGGTACAGCGACGGAAAGCTGCGATCCTCTCACCGTTCTTGTTCGGTTCCATTGTTCTGGACCCAGCAGGTGCATCTATTCCGGTGGTGCTTTCGCCTATATTGCTCACTCAAGTAATCCTTTCACCAGCTATTCTTGGCGCTCTAATTTTATCGCCATTATGTCTCGTTCCTATTGTTCTTGGCCCACGACTTATGTTTCCCGTTGTTTTATCACCAATTGCACTAACACCAGTAGTTCTCACCCCACTTGCAATGGATCCTGTCATAATGAGCCCTGGTGTACTTTTACCTTTTATTTTTTCACCTCAACTTTTATCGCCATTTGTTCTGATGCCTGTTGCAATGGTTCCGTTCATTTTTTCGCCCTTCGCTCTGACACCATTTATCTATATTCCCCACACAATGGTTCCCATGATTCTTTCGCCATTCGTTCTCTCTCCAATAGTCTGCTCGCCGCCATATATTTCTGCTTTCGTGCTATCGCCCTATGCGTTCTCTCCCATAATCAAATCCACAGGAAAGTATTTTACGACCGTCCTCTCACCAAGTTGGATGAGCTGAATACTTTCTTCTTAAGTAGATGTAGCAGAGCACAAGGAAGTTGCGTGCTTCGTCAATGAATAAAAGAGCTTTTGCAGTAGTGCTGCTACGTTCCCGTTTCCGCTTTTCTGGTGCTTCTAGTTCTTTAGAAATAGTTCATTCACTAAATAGTTTTTCTTGAGTGAGCGGGTTTTGCATTACACTGTTCTTTTATTGTTTACATGGTGCAGACTTTAACATGGAGTTTCAACTATAGCTGTCCCAAAGTTCATGTCGAACTTATCGTTATCGAATAATGTCACTCTTTGAATAAATCTTTCAAACCACCAATTTGATCTTTACCAGTTTCCTTCATTTTTCAGACAGCGTACAAACCCAAGGAGCAAACAAGGATGAACTTGGTGGCGTACCAGCCGTCGGCAATGAAAGTGGGAAGTCGAGCTGACTCAGAAGAGAAAAAAGCAAAGGAGACCAACGATGAAGTCTCTAGCAAGAACTAGTTCAGTGAACTTCCATGCACGCCTTTTTCCCTTGAGATTGCTGAAGGGCATATCCGGACGAGTTTCTTAAGCTCCTTCTATAGCTCCACTAACCCGCGTGTTTTTTAAACTAGCCACAACGTCATAATCCACGCTGTCACTATTATCGCTACCTATCACGGAGTTTGCGTGGGGTACCTTGTCGGTTAGCTCAATCTGCTCACACTAGCTCACTTTCTGAGGCTCCAGCACCTTTGTTGTATCGTTTCGAGTTGCGCTAACTGTAGTTCTGTAAAACTTGCGAGCAACCTATCCATCCTACCCACAGAATGTTGTTCCGCACGACCCCGTCTGAGGTTCTTGATCGAGTAGTTTTTCAAGATCAAGCGCTTGAAAGGATGAATCGCTGAACTAGCATGTTTTCATGAGTTTGACATCTGTTACAGGCATTCATATTGCATGCATTTCGATATTAATAATAGCATTACACAGAATCACGTACTTACTTAAACAGCGCCCTCATTTTTGATCAAGGCCCAGGCTTCGATCGATTTGGTGTGTGATTGCTTCCAAAAATTAGACAAGAAGTGCCACGAGGAAGACGAGTGGGGAGAAGAAGCAAAAAGCACCACAGAAAACAATGCAACATCCCCTTGTGAGGTCGGCCGTGATATGAAGAAGAGACTCAGCGCTACAAAGAAAGGGAAAACACGTAGTAATAAAAAGAAATAGTATGTCTCACGGAATTCGCAAACGCCACTTATTCCCAGAAATGAGGGCAAGGCAATAGTGCCCTTGCCGCGCACTTTCAAGTCGCGGCAGTGTCGCGGTTGCTGGGATTGGGAGCAGTATGAAAATGGTGTCGAGGACGTGGTCGCAGCCGTACGTCCCCCCCCCCCTAAAATAGGCTCAATTCGAGGGAAATCTAGGAAACCGGTGTATAGCTGACTTCGAAATTGAGTTCTCTTTGTAAACGAGCACTAGACACCGAGAGATCTTGTCGGACGACCTGTACATATTACTCCTGCACGGTCGTAAGAGATGGTCGGAACGAACAAACGATAACAACGATTACACTAAGACACAAACACAAAACAATTTAAGAATCCCAGGCAGTCACTGCAAGCAATGGTAAAGCCAAGCATATCGAACGACGGCCGATTTACCGGCAGCTGCGGCGCGCTTAATCCCTGGGTCAGATTTGCTGAAACCCCGCTCGAAACCGTCGAAATCTACACCCTCGATGAAAAGGTTCCATTCCCCCATTTCATAACCTTTGAACAGTGTTTGTACGTTAGATAGAGCTAGGTCTACTACTGCCAGGTAGCACTGAAACTGTTTGAAAGCCTCTGACTCAAATAGATAGGGTCTCACAAATTTCGATGAGTCACTAAGGACTCATAAATCTTTGTGCGAATTTTCGCCACCCAAAATGCAATATCTCTCTACTTTCGAGAGCTCCAAAAACGAGACAGTTTTGAGAAGCGGAAGGTTTGCGCCTCCTAACAGTCCACACTTCTTTCCAAATTTCTCGGTTGAGGAGATATTTGCGTCGAGGCTATTGAGGACGATTTTGACCACTAGTCACCTCCTTCATCACTGCAAATTCATTTTGTTGGCAAGTGCGATAAGAGTAGGGCGCCATGGTACGATCTCATCTCGGTATAGGCCATGCATCCGACCTCCACTCAAAGTTGCAGAATCGATTGAAAGGTGTCATATGATCATGACCAGTTGACAGAAGCTGCATTGTAGTAAACGCATTTCGTAACTCCTACAACCTAAGAACAACTTCATTTGCCCAAGGCTTTTCCTTCACTTTTGTCGTTTCTTGCCACAGCGCCCCTAGTGACAGTGTCATTCCGTTTCTGCTGCGTTGCACCTCCCCATCCCCATCTGCCCCGTGATCACGTTGTCACTGTTGTGGTCGTTACTGACCTCCACGCCCATGATCCACTCTGACAAATACGGCCCTCGCTAATCGCTAACCCCTCGCCGTCGGACTCTAGCCGCGGCTCTACGGCTTCAGCATAGACTCAGAGCGGAGCGCTAGCACTGATGAAGTCAGCACCGATGGGACCCGCTCCACAAAAAACCCGCGGAAGTCAGCGGGCTGAAATAGTCTCAATTCTTGGCATCTAGGTCGTGTTTATAGTTTTTTTTTCATCCATGTTGCACTCACTATTAGGTTGGCCGGAAAGAAATGTCGCTCCCTTTTGTGACATTCTTTCAATGACAAACCATAATATGTCACAGTGCGTGGGACTTGTGCGCTTTCTGGCTTACAGCAGGATAAATTGAGTGTCGGGGAGCGATGACATTCTTGCCAAAATTTGTTTAAAACGTTGAGTCCAAGACGTCGCCCTCGTGTGTGCGTAAGGCACGCCTTCAGAGAAGGAAAATCTGTCACTTATTCTTATCATATATGTACAAAACATTCAACAGCAACGCTCAGTCTCTGAGGCAGTTACAGCCATGGTTTCGTCGCTTCCAAGACTGAGGTAAATGTCGTGAGGACGAGGAGCATGCATACCGACCTGAGCTGTTGATAACAAAGTACTAAAGAAAACCGTTGAATCGAGTCATTGCCAAACTACACAAAACTTGGATGAAGGTTTGAATGCGTCAACACTAAAGTTTGAAAGCTTCTCTGTTTGACTAGTAAGGTCCAAGTGGTGCGGAAAATGGGTTCTGCATCTCCCTAGTAAAGCTAACCCACTAGCTACACTCTGCCAGCGATGGAGCTCTGCCCCTCATCTGGAAGAAGAACATAGTTTCTGTCTCCGTTGTGAGGTCACTCAAGGATGAAATGTGTACACCTGTACACAATGGGAAGACGGCCGTGGTTGGCAGCAGATGGACAGCTGAGACGAAATCCGAAATCAGATAACCACGTAACAGGAGGTTTTGATTTTGTATTGCAGAACAATGCGGAACTGGTGTAGATTGAAGTGTTGATCGTGGAAAATGCTGTTGAACTCTAGAAACGCAACGCACAGCAGGTCGCATGCAAAACAACCAACACTTTAATGTGCACCAGTGGCCCTATCAAGGGATCACTCTGTCCGATATAAATTGATGCACAAAAGCGCAAAACCGTCATGTTGCGGAAATATGCCCAAACCAGAATAGGACATGGAAGTTCTGCTCGGCGTGCTAATCAGAGCAAATTTAGTGCCTTCCGATTGGAAATACCCCAAAAAGCAATGAGAATAGGACATGGAAGTTCTGCTGGCGTGCTAATTAGAGCAAATTAGGTGCCTTCCTATTTGAAATTCTGGTTTATTCTGATCAACGCAGCACATCTCGGCCATGAAGAAACTCAAAAACTTCGTCGACGTTACAATTTTGGTGTCCAACTTCATCGAACCGCACCCGAGACAGTTCTTCGAAGAAACCATCCATTCCTTGCACAGAAAACAGAGAGAATAAATTGTTCAAGATATACGTCACAAGTCAGGTTCATGTGCCTTGTTGTTGTTTTTACAGTGAAATTTATTGTTGTCCAAAAACGACATTTCTTATCGGCCAACCTACAGGGTGCGCCAAAATTACGGAGACAACGCATGAGCAAACAATTTGAACTGATATTCACAGATGCTGTTTTCTTCTGTCCTAGTTTTGGTACTGTGGTGTAGAATTGTTTATGCTTACCTTGTTCAACCACCAAAATCTATGGTAGCTGCAGCGGTTGACTGATACTGACACCGTCCCTAAATCATTGGACTTCGACGTTGAGGGTTTTTGGCACGCGACAATTATCATCGTTTTGGTGTATACCCGAGCACTATCAATAGATGCTCCAAGTGGTACAGGGGACAAGGAGCTGAATGCAGTCATTCTGGATGAGAAGGGCGTGTTTCTGTGGCGACCACGAACAATCTAAGGATTGTGTGCGATAGAATTTGCAGGTAGTTGACGCGCTGGTTTCACTGGATGTCACGAGAGATAGGAATCAGGGGGGCTCTTTTGGACTTATCAGAGCCCATTGCTATCCTGAGTTTATTTTCACTTTGAAAATCGTTGCTGGGCCTTCCATCAAGTAGGAGCTCCCGTTTACGAGGCAAGGGTGGTTCAGTACTAGTGCAGCATTGATGCAGAACCGATTTTTTCGACTTTGTCGGCTTAAACGGTGGTAGAACAGCATTTCAGATCTGAGCTCGATAGGGTACGCTGTCGGATCCGTTCTAGAAGCTGAGGCTTGCATAAAACACATTATGTCTAGGGATTCGTTGAAGAAACCGCTCTAAAATGAGCTTGACGAGTCCTACTCGCCACATTGCGTGCCACAGTCGATGGTTCCTCGATGTTTCTGAGGACCCGTATAAACACAAACCAAGGAATTTCAAAAATTGCATGGATGTCGACGATTCAGAATGGGACTGTGCACGTCACTGCATTTTTGTTTTCAAAGAATTGCACCTTGCTCATCCTAGGCAACTCGAAGTCGCTGTCTCCGTAATTTTGGCGCACCCTGTAATAGATCTATTCTGATGAGCTGCCTTTTTACCGTGAACTCCGCCTTCGAGAAAGTCGCGAGAATTCCTTTCTCTAAAATAATGCTCACCGAAAACCCGGAAACTAATAAAGTAAAAATACTGTTCCGAAATTAGCTTTTCTCTGTGTACCAAACTGTATCGTGGCTTAATCGTGCGACCAACGAATTTCGTGCGGCACCGCTTTATTTTATCTTACGAGTGTATTCAAAGGCTTGTCACATAATCATAACTATGTAAAATTGTGGGTAAAAGAAAGAATGAGCGGATGGGTCAAAACAAGACACTGGGCTATGCACATATAAAGGTAATTTCGAGGCACCGTCGGTCGTCACGGAGGCGGAGCGCGTTGTGGGTTTTGGTTTTGACGATGGTGTGTGATGGGCGAAGCGCGTAGAGAAATTGAACACATGAAGAAGGCACACCAGTTCGCAACAATTACAGACGATCGAGGGAAACCTGAAAAATAGCATGCTCATGAAGAATTCATACATGGAAATACATCCAAACGGCCATATCAGTGAGAGGGGGCAGTGCCGTGCACAGTCTGCTCTAATGCCAATTTGGCGCCAGGAGTCCTTTAGGGTTACAAAGGTTAGCTAAGTAGCGTTCCTAGGTGACTATTCATCATGGTCTTTTGCATAATGTACCTGTCCTGTGTTGGATGCCGTAAACGTCTATGAAAAATTCATCGACCTGTGCGCTAAGAAGGGGAGGGAAATCACGGGGAGAACGAAGAATGCCTACGAACCCGTGGGTTCCCCTTCCTTTCGAAAAATAGTCCTGGACGCTTACTTTGAGAAAATATGCTATCAGTGGTTGAACGCGTAGCGCTCTGAACCGCATGCCCCCCTTACTGGATTAGACACCATCCAACACTCACGCTCCTAGTTCAGAATAGCCTGTGGCTTGCCTAAACGGATGTAATGGCACGAATGAAAACTGACCTCAGCCTCTTCGGGATATTCGAGTTCCCAGATTCTCTTCAGATGTTTACCCTTGACGTCACGTGGCGCACCGAATGACGTCATCTTCTGAAATGGTACAACATTGAGAAGTAGTGAAAAATATTGCACTTATTCAAAAAGAAGGCAAATATTGCTACTTCTCCTGGTACTGGAATTCAAAGTGTTTGAGCTATTGGCTAACCTTCTGAGAATCTCCCTTGTTCCAACCGGCCTGGCTTGGGATAATGGTCTCGGAGATTTTCATGGCCTCGTAAGGCAGCTCACCGCCCTCTGCCTCGTAGGTCGTGTTCCTGATCGTACCGAAACCAGTCATACCCTAAACATCATCCTTTGATCAGATCATCAAATGTGAGTTCGAGCTTCTCACTTAGCAGCAAAAGGTGTCTTCTTCAAGCAAATACGAACATTAGTTGTACTATGTGAAATAAAAGGCGTTTTAAAGGCAAAAATCAGGATTAGGTCGGCGTGGTAATCCTACCTAGATATGAAGGTAGGGGTAGGAGGTGGACTGCAAATGGAGAAAAAAGGAAGAAAATCGTAAAAAACAGGAAATACGAGCTTTTTGCTTTAAGCCGCGGAGAAGTCTATGAGGCAGGCATGGAAATGAGTGGTAATGTAAGTCCTGGAGAGGGTCAGAGAAGTCTGAGAAGACAGAAAGAGTAGATCAACATAGTGACGCAGATAAGATATCAAGCGGTGGGCGGAGCCTGATAGTTTGGACGGGATTTGATCGAATCCCTTAATGCATAGCGTCATAGGGACGCGTTTCGATGGGCTAGACCATAAAGGTATCGACTCTTGCAGCAGCGGGCACTACTCTATCCACTACAACCGACTTTTCTTTAGTGAAGGCCTGAGCTGAGCCCGGACCTTGCATTGAAGAAAGGATAAGGGGCATCAAAATGAGGCTGACCAGCCTATATATGTATTGATCTGGATCAAGTAGGGTTACCTGCTGCGAAGCGATCTGTTGGTACCGGATTGAAGGCGGACCATGCCCTGAGATTTGCGGTTCTGCCACGAAATCGAGGGGTCGAGTACCTGAACGTGGTGTCGAAATCAGCATTGATCCAATATAGTCAAATTATGAAATTTTCAGTACCTCCCAACGTGGTTGTCCAAAGCCGGTCATTCCCTTTTGGGAAGCGTATTTGTTTGAACCCATTTGGCTGGGGATTGTTGTCTAAAAAGAAGTTCATTGTTCAATCATGACTTGGAATCTCAAACTCCATGAAAATGCTGAAGGTACCTGATCAATAGAAGCTTCATGATCGTATTCGGGATGGCTGCTGTCGATCATTTTCGTGGTTTCACGACGAGACGTACCCGAAACCAGTCATTCGCGATCACCATGGCAGGGTCGTCTCATAGCAACGCATAAGGATATACTCGGCCAACGCGAGCAGCTCACCAACCTTCTGTGAAGCGAATTTGTTGGTTCCGGATTGCAGCGGAATCTCTGACTGATCCGGCCGCTCGTGATCGTATTCGGGATGCTTGGTGTCGAGCATCTTTGTGGTCTCACGACGGGTCGTACCGAAGCCAGTCATACCCTGGAACATCGAATTTCGTCAGCTATTCTTGAAGCTGTTTAATCAATCCAGAAATGTCAAGAACCGACCTTTTGGGAATCATACTTGTTGGTACCGGCTTGCAGACGCACAATACACATACAGACAGCAATCTCTTACTAACTACCGGAAGTTCCTTCAAAAGTAATCATTATAAGTGGCCAAGTTTGCCAAGTACGCTTCGGTTTATGATTGAGAGAAATTAGGTGTTTTCCGCCGTTTGGAAAGGCGCTACCGCAAGGGGGGAATCCGTTGAGTAAGCCTAGGAGGGCAGGGACTGCGGGAAAATGAAGTTTGCTCACAAACCCTGAAGTTTATTCTTCCTCGCCTAAAGCTTAGTCCTTTCTAAAAAAGTAAATGTCTTAGTGACGGTTGCTCAGGGGCCCTGGATATTTTCTTTCCCTGAAGCTTGAGTCCGTTTCCGATGGAAAGGAAAAATTCTACGTGGTTTTGAAGCGTTGCCACTACAATGTCCCCCGTATCTTGCGATAGCGCGTTCTTTTCTCGTAAGCAGATATAATCCAGGAGTGGGCTCTCGAGGTTCGCGACAGTTAAGAAAGAGCAAATTATGGGACATTTCTTGGATAATCTCACTTACCATTCAGATAAGGGACCAGGGACAAGCTAGCAGTATTGAAAAGTCCTCCTACAAAACATCTAACCACACGGACCAATTTTTAAAAGCTTGCATTGCTTCCATGAGTGTCTGGAGGCAGCACGTCGTGAATTTTTCCTCAGACATTCCGGTAGTGAATGAAAACCAGAAAACAACATGGAATGTCTCGTTTCCCGGCTTCCGCTCGCTCAACATCGCTCATCTTGTATACAAACATACTTAAGCGCTCACCACGATCACCACGCCTACGTGTGCTTTTCTTTGTGCAGAACATGACACACTCACTAGATCCCTTCAAAAGCCTCTGCTGATCGGGAGAAGAATGACGAAAATATAGTCTTTTGGTGCTTTAGAAACACTGTAAGCCATTCTTGCCATCCTTCTCTCTGCCTCACAAGAAAACTGTGAATATTTGGTGAGAATTTCTTGCCAGACAACAAAACCCTCTGCCTGAAACGACCCCGCCAACTTGGCACAGCAAGTACGCAGTGTGAAACCCGTCAAAAACTTTCTGCCGCGCTATCAATTGTCACCGACTAAATTCATGGGTCTCGCACTTACAGCGCGACCACATTTCCTGGTCGCTATCCGCATTATATGGGGGACATCCCTTAGGACTAACGCCTTGGGAGGCAGGAACTGGGGAAATGAAATTTGTTGAAGTGCTTCTATACTCGCCCAGGCTTATCCCTCTAGAAGAAAAAAATTGATTTCCATCGCGGTTCAAGATTTGTCATCGCTCCAATGTCTCGTATTTTGTGATAGCGCCCATATTTCCAGTACTCACTGGTAGAGATTACTTCAGGCAACCCTTCCCCCCTAAGTATTGCTTTGCCTCCATTCTATTTCTGTAGGAAGAAGAAAGAGCAATAAGAAGAAATTCCCTTCCCCGAATTTTTTCCTTACTGAAAATAATTAATAGTTAAATAATAGTAGAAGAAAAAGGGCTGAAACTGTCAGAGAATGAAGCGCTTTTCCTTTCCACCCCAAAGATATCGATTTGAAGAATAATTTCAAAGGAAATGAGCAGGTTCAACGACGTTTCTGAAATCTTACCGCTAGATCTGAAGGGTTGGTGTTGACGTGCTTTCCCTCTCGGCACACATCACGACCAGTACCGAAGCCGGTCATACCACGCTGTGAACTGAATTTGTTGGTACCAGATTGAAGGCGCACTTCACCATGGGTACGTTGAGCGATCTCCTCGGGAATTTCCTGAAAATGTTCAGATTTAATCGAAGAAAAGTATTCCTTCCATTAGGCCAAAGCCTTCAGGGGGGCTAGCCTTCAAAACCTGTTCTGGAACAGCGAGTTATCACCTGAAAAAAAAGAGTTACAGAAGATGCTGGATGACCTTCCGGCGTATACCCTTCTATGGATTTTATTTGGCATCGGGCGGTGTTAGACGAGGATCCACGAGAAAGCGGGCTAGGGTCAAGAGTGCGTTGCGCAGTTGTAAACGAGGGGGGCCATATCTGAGTTTTTTCGGCGGAGAAGGGCATTTGGGGTTGATGAAGGTCAAATGGTTGGAAAAAAGAGGGTCGTGTCGATGGATTCCCCTCGGGCTGGATGGTGGTGAGGAGTCGATTTCGAGACCCCTGAAAAGGATAGTCGTGAAATTTTCTACGGTTGACCCTGCTTCAGGCCGATCCACTACCCAAAAAAACGTAAACGCCCCTATTTTCAGAGATGAGTGTTGTGAATAGTTTAGAAATCCCATAACTGCCCGAATAGCCGTCGTTTTCTCCGGTATTTCCCACATTTTGTTCCGATATTTCCCACATTCACCCCGCAAATGTCAAACATCACAAACGACACGTTCCTGTGCCCCAAGTGATCTCAGGCGAACTCTCAACGTAGTGAGCTAAGCTATCAACTGTAGTTCAAGAACTGGATCCACGGTTCAACACGCGTGCAGCCCTTCGAGTGCTCTTAACAAGAATCAATAGCGCTGAACACTTCCGCTGAGCGTCGCATTTGTCTAAAAGCTTAATGATGACGCAACATCGACAACGAAAAACTTCTGCAGCCGTTTGTCATCTGATATTTCTACTGGATTTCATGAAATCGTTTCAGTACCCCTCTTAGCACAGCTTCAGTTTCCCTCACGGCACAGTTTTACAGTTACAGTCATTCACTGACTGGTTCTCAAGGTGGAAAAGAAGGCCCAGAAACCCCCCCCCCCTCCCCCGACCCTCCCGACCCTCTCGTAAAATTAAATCAATGCCCGTACAATGGTTGAGGACGTCGTGGAAGCCATCCACAAACCCAAGGGGAGGTGAGCCGGTCATGTGGTTAGATAGACCCAGATGGCTAGATATATCGCTGGACCAAGAGAAACTGATGTATCCAAGGAGGAAGACAAGGCTCACACGACACCTTCCCCCTCCCGCAGCAAATGGGCTGACCCACTCGTGAAAATTATACGGCCAACGGGCACGCAGAAGAGCTCAAAGCAGAGCGGCCTGGAGGATGTGCGACCTGCGTTCTTGACGTACGCGGGGCAAACAGTGGTCGAGAGGGAACAGTAGAAGTAAAATCTCAGTACCCCTTCACAAAAATCCCTTTTCTCACGAAAAAAAACCACCCTAGCCGTGTACTGAATAGACTCAAGAAAGGCGGTCTTAAATCACGAACGACAAGAAAATAGTTGGGAAATGGATGTTGGCTCGAAGGCAGCTTAGCCCTTACTTCTTACCCTCATGTTTAGCAGGTTTTTAGCAATTAGCTAAAAACCAAAGGATTCCTAATAGGTTTTTTACCCTGCGCCTTGCAAAAAAATTTTCAAATAGGTGAATAAAGGTTTTAATGCGAATCGAACCATAGGAAATAAGAGCGAGCTGTAGTAGGCTTAGGAATGAGCTGCCACAAAAGGCTCGTAAGCTCGCGGACGGGGATTTTTGTTGACACAGCTGAATGTGGAAAAGTGCACCAACCTGGAGATTTTCAGCTTTCACTCTGGTTGAAGTGTTTCTTGGTGTACCGAAGTTTGTCATCAGCTTTTGGGAGTCTCCCTTATTCCATCCGGCCTGGCTCGGAATAATACCTTAACGAATTATTGATTTCGAGAAATCCTCATCAATAGCATCAAAATTTCTATGTGTTTGCTGATTTTTCATCCAAAGAAGTAAATATTGCAATATTCCCCGATAAGAAGAGTTTGAAACCCACGAAGGAGATTTTAAGTGGTGAATAATGGCACCAACGTAGGCTAAAGTATGGCGTTCTACTGCCTAAATGGTCAAACCAAGCTACTTACCATCGGTCTGTCTGAGTTGTGCCAGGGTCCAGCGACCGACACGCTTCGGTTGGCCTTGACCGGTGACTTTCGTCTCCATCGTCGCGTTCGGCTGCTCATCTGGAATCATCTCGTCTCGATTCACACTCCATCTCGCTCGCTGTCTCACTTTCGCTCTCATCTCCAGCTCACATCTCTGTCCACGTCTGTCGTTCTCTCACGCTCTCATCATAATTCTCACACCTTCCCCCAGGGCGTCCATATTTGATGTTTTGTCTTCGGAACGCTTCCCCGGCGAAGCTATGGCGCTGTTTTTGTGGACAAGGAAACAACCGCCATGTGTGCTTATGAATTTTCAGCTATAGCAATCAGGCGAATTCTTTTCTACGTGGGCATCCCGCCCCCCCCCCCCAACCTCTGAATATCGATATTGGAATTCTCAAATGATATGCTGATGAGTTAACTAAACGATGACGTTAAAGCAAGCAGAAGAATAGGCAATTGGGGAGAAAAAGGCGAAAATGGAGTTGGAGGGGTACTGTCCTGTGTGGCTGTATCCCCGCTACCGCTAAACGCTAAGTTTAGGGATGAAAGAGAGGGGTCTATTCCAGTTAGGGGGCATCATGATGCAGTTTCTCGGCGAACTAGTGTGAACTCGAACATTCCAGCTTTTCACGCATGTCAAGTGACTGCCCTCCCCCCCACCCCCCTAGACTGGCTACACTCCCCCTGGCTCGGAGTTACCCTAGCTTTCTGGAAAAACTGCATCATGATGCCCCCCCCCCTAACTGGAATAGACCCAAAGAGTGGATATCACGTGATCGACTCATCTGAAGTATCGCTTTCCATAACGGCAGGGCTGACTCGGCCTTGAGTGGTGCAAAGAAATGACCCATTTAGGGATAAATATTGGCGCTATCGCAAGATAAGGGGACATCCTCTAGAACTAAACCTAAAAGAGGCAGAAACTCCTAATAGAAATGAGAATCGATCACGAACCCTAGAGCCCCTCCTCCCCGCCTAAGGCTTAGTTCCGTTTTCAACGAAATG